GCGGGGGGACACGGGGGGCTCAGTGCCGGCCCCGCCGCCGTGTCCCCCCCATCGTGCTTGGCACTCACTGTGCCACGCGGTAGTAGTCCCGCAGGAAGCGGTCCCAGTCAGTGCCCATCATGCAGAGGGACAGGGGGTCCCCATCGATGTCCTGGTGCCCCAGACTGCCCAGGTGCTGCTCACAGACCTGCAGGGCCTCCTCCAGCAGCTGGGGTGGCAGGGGGGGCCCTGGCCCCGCTGTGGATGGCATGGGGTGAGGGATGTGGCTCCTGGGGACCCGCTGTGCCACCCTTGGGGCCATGGCACAGAGCCTGCCCATGGGATGGGTGGCTTTGGGCGCACAGGGATGGGCTGGAGGGGACAGAGCACCCATAAGGTGGGCTGGCAAGAGGGAGTGTGGGGTCTGAAGCCACAGCCCCGAGCAGAGGCTCAGCCCAAGGCTCAGCCCCATGGCACATCTCTGACCCCAAACTCTCTGTCCCCCTCTTCCCAGGCCCAGCTCCGCATGCTCACCTGGCCCCTTGCCAGATTTTGGAGGCAGCTCCATCCCCGTCGGCACATCCCCAGCCATCTCCAGGGCCACTTTGAGCAGGCTGCGAGCTGCAGTCAGGTGGAAATCCTCTGCAAGGGGGGGCATTGTCCCCACCTGGTCCTGCACGGGACACGGGGGGACCAGAAGCACAGGGGGGACAGGAGGGCCACAGCCCTGGTGGGTCACGCCAGCCCTGAGCTCACCGATGAAGGCTTGCCGCTCGTCCACAGCCCCCAGCCGGTAGCACCGGGGGAAGAAGGTGTCGGGGTCGGCTTGGTTGACCCAGGGCAGGTTTCGCAGGTTGAGGCACAGCCCCTCCTGTTTAGAGATGGGTGGTAGCTCCCACTGCCCCCCCCGGGACCTCACCAGGTCCTGGGCGCTGCGCAGGGCGCCTACCACCGCCGCCTTCATGCCGGGCACCATCACCTGGTGCCAGGCGCCCGCCCGCCCCACCTGTGCCAGGTAGGCCTGGAGCTGGTGGCAGGACCAGGTCTGGTCAGGGGGCAGCCGGGGGTGCCGGCCCCGCGCCGGCCGGCACTGCTGCTGGATGGAGACGTTGCAGAGGTGCCGGGCGCTGGGGCGGGTAGAGCAGGGCCGGGTCAGTGGGGTGCCGGTGGGTGCCGGGGTACCGGGGTCTGGCACAGGGGGCACTCACGGGTCCAGGTGGCGCAGGGAGAAGGGCCGAGAGCAGAAGCGCAGGTAGCTCTTGCGGTAAAACCAGACGGTCAGCGGGTTCCAGTCGGTCACCAGGAACCATTGCCGGACATCGAATTTGGTGCCAAAGATGAGCAGTGGCCGCTCCACGTACTTCTGCACCACCCACTTGCCCGCCCTCGC